GACAGTACCAGAAAGGGGCGAAGCGAAAGTCGGAGTCCAGAACAAAACAGTCATACACGGATAGTCACAATCAATAAGCAAACCAATCAAACAAATCCAAAAGAAACGAGCAGAGCTCTCGAGGGATCTTGCTGTCCGGCTTTTCACTCCGGGAACAGGAAGTGAGCAGGCGGGCCGATGTCTCGTGGGCAGCGTCCTGGTCGAGGGGGCGGAGCGAACAACAGCGGCGCGTAACACCACCCCCCACAAGTGTGAACCTCATAGGTTCCACAATCACAGTTAATGACAAACAGGTAATTACAAACAGTATATTACCTCTAAACTCATCCCCGCCGGTAAACCCCGCAACAACTATACAAAAAATCACGTTCGTGAGAGGGCGTCAGCCACCAGGTTAGTGGCACCTTTCTTATGGACGATCTGTAAGTTAAAAGCTTATATAATGAGGGACCAGCACATGAGGCGTTGGTTGGAATTACACATCTTATTCAGAAACACAAGGGGGTTGTGATCAGTGAAAACGACCACTGGCTGGGTACTATCACTAACGTACACCTCGAAATGCTGTAAGGCGAGTAATAGCACAAGGGCTTCTTTTTCTATCGTGCTGTATGCCAACTGGTGCTTAACAAACTTCTTTGACCAATAGGAGATAGGATGGTCTAAACCCACAGCGTCCTCTTGAAGAAGGACAGCGCCGGCTCCGGTACCACTAGCATCTACCTCCAACTTGAAGGGTTTTCCAAAATCAGGGGCAGCTAACACAGGGGAACTAGTGAGTAGAGATTTCACCGAGTCAAAAGCAGATTGACACTCAGCAGACCAAACAACTTGGGCATCTTTACGGAGTAAGCTGGTTAGGGGTAATACAACATCCGAAAAATTTCGGCAGAAGCAGCGGTAATAACCCGCCATCCCCAGGAAGCGTCGAAGGTCTTTCTTAGTTTTTGGAATGGGGAACGACGTAATAGCTTGGACTTTTGCGTCCACAGGCTTGACTGTTCCGTGCCCCACCAGTTTACCCAAGTAAGTGACAGTGCCCTGTCCGAACTCACATTTCTCCAAGTTCAGCACTAACGAAGCCCCTTTCAACCTAGTAAAAACTTGTTCTAACGACGTCATATGTTGTTCCCACGAGTCGGAATAGACAACCACATCGTCTAAGTAGGCTTCACAGTTCCTAACATCTCCTAGTACTCTATTCATAAGTCGCTGAAATGTGGCTGGGGCATTACGTAATCCGAATGACATGACCGTATATTGTAGGAAGGTGTCTGGGGTAGCGAAAGCGGAGATCTCCGAAGCACGAGGGGTTAACGGTACCTGCCAATATCCTTTCAGGAGGTCGAGCTTGGTTACGAACCGAGCGGAGCCAATGCGGTCCACACAATCTTCCATTCTAGGAAGCGGAAAGGCGTCGGGTTTGGTTACCACGTTTACTTTCCTATAGTCTGTGCAGAAACGAGACGTACCATCGGGTTTTGGGACAAGCAAACAGGGTGAACTCCAGGGACTGGAACTGGGAACAGCAAGACCCGTCTCCAGCAGGTAATCAGTCTCCTTCTTTAGTAGCTCTCGCTTATGAGGACTAACGCGATAGGGGTGCTGTTTGATGGGAATATGATCTCCAACATCAATGTCATGTTCTAATACAGGGGTCTGCGAAGGGGTGTCGGAGAATAGAGACGGAAACTTATGCACTAGGGCCTGGATATCCGATTGGGTGGCTCTGGGTAAGTGACCAAGCCTTTTCTCGAGGGTTTTAAGGGCTTCTGAATTTGGTAGGCGAGCGCATGGCAGACAATTTCTCCCGAGGTGCAGATCATCGAGTTCGGGCGAGTACTCGCGCACCGGCACAGTAACCACAGCAGAGGGGAGCAGAACAGAAGTGGACGAAGGAGTGGGGTCAGCACGATCAACGTAAGGTTTTAACATGTTTACGTGACACAGACGAGTTTTCCGCTTTCGGTTTGGGGTTTCGATGATGTAATTAGTGGGACTTACTTTTTCCTGTATACTATAGGGACCTGAAAACCGTGCTTGAAGAGACGAGCCAGGCAGGGGTAAAAGGACTAACACACGATCTCCCTCCTGGAAAGTTCGTTCTCTGGCTTTCTTATCAAAACGAGCTTTCATCACCTCCTGTGAAGAACTTAACGAGCGCTTGGCCAAGTCCCTGGCTGCACCAAGGCGCTCACGCAGAGACTTAACAAAGCTCAACACATTCCTAGTCTGAGGAGGTGGACTCGGGGACAACCACTGCTCCTGCAGTATCTTTAAAGGGCCACGCACCGTATGCCCAAAAACAAGTTCAGCTGGGCTGAACCCAGTGGATTCCTGCACGGTATCCCGAATTGCAAATAAAAGCAAAGGTACTCCCTCATCCCAATCTTTTCCTGCCTCTAAACAGTAAGTTCGCAACATC